ACCCATCTGGTCTATGCGACCACTCTATAACATACTGACACTAGCAGACCATGCCTGAGAAGAGTTTGCAAGTGAATAATACACAAAAATTTAATACTCTTTTGATGTTATTTATATAATGTATCTTCCTTTGCCTGTCCATTACTTTTGGAGATAGCAAGACTCACTCTTGGTATAATATTTTACTCCTTGGATGAGCTCTTGTGTGCTGCTGTGCTTTGCTTGTATTCTGATCTGTCCTTATAACTAACAAACTGGAGCCTGACCCAAAAAGGCTTATACATTACAGTACATTACATTTCGTATTTTGATATGTTAGTGGGCTTTTTTCCTGTTCTTCTTTTTGAAGAAACCAGCAAAGACATCTAAGAGATCTTAAATAGTCTAAGGGATCATAATTATAAAGACTAGAAAATGTCTGGTTTATGCATGGATACAAAATACAATAAAACAATATGGTGAAAAGAAATGCATAGATAACGAATTAATGGTAGTAAAACTTGCTCCATTCAAATAAGTAGGAAGAACTCAATGTGAAGAGTAAAGTTAAAATAAACATATGTGTTTGGTTGCTGTTGCTTTGTTGTTATTGTTAATTTAACATTTATTATAATAGCATTAGCGGTTCAAGTACATTACATTTAGTATTTTGATATGTTAGTGGGCTTTTTTCCTGTTCTTCTTTTTGAAGAAACCAGCAAAGACATCTAAGAGATCTTAAATAGTCTAAGGGATCATAATTATAAAGACTAGAAAATGTCTGGTTTATGCATGGATACAAAATACAATAAAACAATATGGTGAAAAGAAATACATACAGGTAGATAACGAATTAATGGTAGTAAAACTTGCTCCATACAAATAAGTAGAAAGAACTCAATGTGAAGAGTAAAGTTAAAATAAACATATGTGTTTGGTTGCTGTTGCTTTGTTGTTATTGTTAATTTAACATTTATTATAATAGCATTAGCGGTTCAAAATATTCAGCCATGCTTGTTTAGCAGGTAACTAGCTTTGTATATTTTAATGAAGAAGACATACTTACCACAGTTTGTCCCAGTTGTGGTGCATTGTCATTTACATCTCCAACCTCAATTAATACTATTGCTTTGGAGCACAAACCAAAGTCCTGGCCTCCCATGTCTCTTGCTTCTATTTCTAGTTCATACTCTGCTGTTGTCTGAAGAAGAATATTAACCACAACATGTGTCCTATTTCCATTAAAGACACTTTTTTGGGGGGGGAATTCTGAAGTTATTCAATTATATATTTATATAGTATTGGCAAATACAACTTCATAATATTAGTACAGGGTATTGTCATTGTTTGAGCTTCCAGGGGGCATTGAAGAGTGTCTTCTCTTATCGATGTACAATAACAGACACAACCCCTTGCTGGGTGGTGGAAAAAGCAATCTTGCATCTTCCTCCTGGGCACCCGTGTGCCTTCTTTTTTCTAGCAAAGTACTTAGAATATTGGTACATTTTGTTTGTACATTTTTTAAATTTATTACATTTATATCATTTTTCACAAGGAGCATATGATGGGATACATGATTCTCCCCAGTCTATCCATGCCTTGTGAGGCATTTTCCAATTAGAGTGTTGACTGAATGACTGTTTCCTCAGTGTCTCTTTGTGTAATTCCCAACAAGTGGGAAACTTGGCTTCAATTACATTGCAGATATTTTAGCTCACTCTATTAACATGTCTCCCATGTTTAACATTCTTGTTTAACATGTTTCTCATATCATATAAATTCAAAGACACCCGTGTGCCTTCTTTTTTCTACCAAAGTACTTAGAATATTGGTGTATTTTGTTTGTACATTTTTTTAATTTATTACATTTGTATCATTTTTCACAAAGAGCATATGGTAGAATACATGATTCTCCCCAGTCTATCCATGTCACCATCATAACACCTTGTGAGGCAGGTTAGAGGGGGAGGCAGTGGCTTTTCCAGTTAGAGTGTTGACTGAATGACTGTTTCCTTGGTGTCTCTTTGTGTAATTCCCAACAAGTGGGAAACTTGGCTTCAATTACATTGCAGATATTTTAGCTCACTCTATTAACATGTCTCCCATGTTTAACATTCTTGTTTAACATGTTTCTCATATCATATAAATTCAAAGGGCTTTTGCATGTCAGTAAATATTAGATTTACTGGGACGTGGTGGCACTGTGGGCTAAACCACAGAAGCCTGTGCTGCAGGGTCAGAAGACCAAGCAGTCGTAAGATCGAATCCACGTGACGGAGTGAGTGTCCGTCGCTTGTCCCAGCTCCCGCCAACCTAGTGGTTCGAAAGCATGCAAATGCAAGTAGATAAATAGGGACCACCTCGGTGGGAAGGTAACAGCGTTCCATATCTAAGTCGCACTGGCCATGTGGCCACGGAAGATTGTCTTCGGACAAACAATTACATTGCAGATATTTTAGCTCACTCTATTAATATGTCTCCCATGTTTAACATTCTTGCTTACCATGTTTCTCATATCATATCAATTCAAAGGGCTTTTGCATGTCAGTAAATATTGATACACAAAAAAATTTACCTCTCGATCCAGATGTGATGATGCTACAGTAATACAACCGGTATCTGGGTGTATTACAAATATGTGGGAGTTCTGATATATCTGAAGATTCCTGTTCACAATCTTGTATTTCACTTTGGTATGTAAAGTGTGTGGCTCATCATTGTCTGTTGCAGTCACTTGTCCGACTACTGTACCTGCACATACAAAGAATCAACTTAAAATTTTCTATTTCCTTCATAAGACAAATACTATTCCATTCTAGCTAATTTTTGTTTAAATAGATGTTTCCTGGAATACACATTAGAATTCCACCACGCTATAACCAAACTGTTACACTTTTACAAATATATCTATGGAGCTGGGTAATGTTTTTGAACATTCAATCAATGAAATAGATATATCAGACATATATTCCAATGGAAGAATTTTTCCTAATTTTATAATAAGGTAAGTAGATAAATAAAATTGAACACATTATTTCATTAGAGATATTGCTTCCAGTGTCAATATGGTCTTGATGATGTCCAACATCTGGAACAACTAGAATAGAAAGAGTTTTCTGTCTTTCTTTCTTTCAGGTTCTGGTGATCCCTAGGATTTCCTTTCACCTTGGAGAAGCTTTTGTGAGTGTTTGTGAGAGACCCCCTTAATAGTCAGAAATCTCTGCCAGATCACAACTTCAACTGGAACCACAAGCAGTGATTTGTCAGTTATTTGGGGCTATTAATAATCTCCCATATATCCCAAGACAGCCAAGATTTCTCTAGGGCAAAAGGGAGCCCTAAAGAGCCTCAGAAAAAAAGGGAGAGGAGCTTTCATTTCATTTAAATTAAGTATTTCCAGTGCTGGATCTGGTCTACACCAGCATAACTTTACACAACATAATTTTGCCCAATATCATTCAAAGAGGAAGAATATGATGGAGGTATCCAAGCTCATTTGTGTGCACACACATGTGTGTGTTTGTATCTGGTCAGGTAAGATAGACAAAGATAGATGTGGAGATGTTTTCTAAACTTGAATATAAGTTCAAAATTAAATCAAGGAATGCCAGTGTAAGTTGATGCTGACTATTAAAGATACAAAGTCAGGCTTGAAGTCAGAACTGACAAATTTATTATACACATGTTAAGGATTGGCAAACTTAACAATGAACAAAAGTACCTGATTCATTTATTGAATTTAAGTCACTTCTGGAGTGTCATACAAATCTGTGAAGTTTAGAATCAAAAAGTAAGCACACCAGGAACTATTTCCTTCTATAAAACTCCAATTATACATCTCCAGATTACTTTGATTAAGTGCAACAGAGTTTAAAAAGCAGTATGAAGTTTCTAAAGATATAGCTGTTGGGAGAAAGACTAGAAAGGGTGTAAGGGTGTATGTGTGAACAGCTGCGAGAACAATTATATTCAAAGGACCTATACAGTTCTGTATATGCTTACATAGGGTGTATTTTAATGCAATTAGACTTCACAACCTGCCATACTCCACTTTTTAAGTACAGTACGCTCTAATTAGAAGGTTTAGAAACCTACATTCCTTGGCATGAAAACAGTTCAGTTTCTATGGGAACTGAAAAAGTTTTGATACAGATATTCCAGTAATGTGATTATTTTAATTAGCACGTTGCTGAATATCAGAATAGGTTTTGTAAAAGATTAAAGAATTACCAATTTTGCTGTTTTCAGGAATGTGAAAAATATAAACATCATGGTCAAAGACAGGGGCATTATCATTATCATCTTCTATTTTGATTGTATGCACAAGCGGTACTTCAGGTGTATATCCATCAGATGTCATTGCGTAGCAGATCAGCTGTATAAAAGATAGTTAAATAAATACAGTACTTCTTTTTGATGGTTACAATGGAACAGAAGTAGTCTTTCTGACAAATCAGAAGTGCTTCTGGATGGTATTTGATGGTTGCAATGGAACAGAAGTAGTCTTCTCTCTGACAAATCAGAAGTGCTTCTGGATGGTAAATCTGCCACGTTTTTCACTCCTAGAGATGGGCACTTAACGTGGTTCAGTAGTTCGGTGTGGTTCGGCCAGATTTTGTGGAGATGCCCTGGATTCTGTGCCCCACCTCCTGCAGATGCCCACTCAGGGGAAGACATGGGGCAGGGATGCCCATGGTACTGCTTCTGATGGGGCACCCATGAGAGGAGACAGGATGAAATTCAGGGCACCCACACAAGATCTGTGGGCCTGATCAGTCAAACCATGCCTAGCCACAGAACCATGGTAAAAGATAATCTCTACTCCTTTAACAGTAACTATATATACGTAGCTTTGTTCTTGCTCCTGATTTCACAATAGAATTATCACTGTGGGAAGGAATCTAAATGTTCTTTTTTCTTGCTCTTACTTACTTACTTACTTACTTACTTACTTACTTACTTACTTACTTACTTACTTACTTACTTACTTACTTACTTATTTATTCATTCATTCGATTTATACCCCGCCCCCCTAGATAGTGTCTACTCGGGTCGGGGCAGCAAATCATTTAAAAAATCATAAAATGTCAATAAAACATCACAATCAAAGTAAACGACATTCATAATCATAAAAACTTTTGAACAGTAATATAGAATGATCAAGATGGGGAATGAAAGAACAGAGAGATAAAATTCAAGAATTGATAGGAGGGAAGGCCTGCCTGAAGAGCCAAGTTTTTAAATGGCTCTTAGAAACACCCAGCGAGGGACCCAGGCGGATCTCTGATAGAAGACTGTTCCATAGTCAAGGGGCCACTGCCGAGAAGGCCCAGTTTCTTGTTCTTTCTTTCCAGGCCTCGCTCGACGTTAGGCCTCTCAACTGACCCTCCTGGCTATGCCGAGTAATTTGAGTAGATCTTCCTATTACCTCCTGATGCATGTGTAGAGGAAGGAATGAAGTAAAGAAGGGACTGCTGAACTCTTGATGTTGCAGATTTTTCACAAGAAAAAATAAGAAATCTGCATGCTTGCACACACACAGTATAATATAACCATGTCCCACTGCATAAGAGTCTGGCTGCTTGGAAATCTACTAATGTATGCAAAAGGAGTGGAGAAAAGAGAGTGAAAGCCTTAGTATCTGTGGAGATGCTGAGTGCTCTCCTCACTCCCAGAAGCATACATTTATTTGCTATTTTGAAACAGACTGAGACAGATATGCAGCCTTGCCTTTCCCTGGGAAAAAACCCATGGACAACTTTGGAGAAAGCCAAATCCTATCTTACCCTATCCTGCCTAACTGCAACGGTTTCAATACCCATCAGAGGTAAACTGCATTTCACAGACTCTTCATTTTAAAAGAAAAAGAGAAAACATGTTGCTGGAGACTGGAGAGTCTCAGTATTCCCAGTACTTATCAATGTCTGTTATTCCATGCAAGTAGGAGAATGGCTATGAACAGGAAATAGGCAAGTAATGAAGAGGGATAAGGCAGCTTTAAAGAGTCATGGAACACTCTTCTAAGCCCTAAGCCTTAATTTGACATTTTCCAGCTCAAACTGGAAGAGATATTTCACTTTCCGCCTGCAAAGTTGGGTTTTTTGCATTATGAAAAAAACCCATGTATCTATATACCAACACTGTGATGTTAGGTCAGGGTGAACCCAAAGTCATCCTGTAAGGTTCAATGAGAACCAGAAACTGGACCCTCCAAGTCCCAGCCTACCACTCTGACCAGTATATCACACCTGCCGTAGTCCAGTAGTCTCCATGCTTGCTTGCTTGCTTGCTCTTTTGAACTGTTTCATCATGAGTGGAAATGATGTTAGAAGAAGACCTGAAAAGTAATTGGCTTTTGAATGGAAAACCTGGTTGCAATCTTCCCATCTCAGAGAAAGCCTTCTCAATGTCTTCCTGTATGTGATATACAGTATGCAGATCACACTGCCTTGTGCCAGGAGAGAGTAATCAGTTCTCCCCACTCCCACTTGCAAGGAACCACCACCTCTGACTGGCAAGTGGATGTTAGACATCTTATACTTGTGATTCAGACTAATGTCAAACAAACACTCAAAGCACTCTTACCCTATACTAGTCTTCTTCAACTTGGCACCTCAAGACATGTTAGGCTGCAATTCTCATCAAACAGGACTGCCCTTTATGGTGTCTCTTCATCCACCTTCAGTTCCTTACCTTAGAATACACATTGCCTCCCTTCAATAAGACAAAAGGTTGCTGGCTTTTTAAAACATTAGATTAGATTAGGCATCCTTCAGTCTCAAGAGACTATGGTAACGTGCTCTGTATGGAGGACTTGGAACAGCATCTAGAGTGGCTGAGAAGGCCAGTTCAAGAGTGACAATCCCTTCCACACCAAGGACAAATACAATCTGTCCCCTGTCCAGCTCCCTGATTTTGCTGCTTTCAGGACTGCCTCTTTGCCTCAGCCTGCTGGACAAGGGTCTCTTCAAATTGGGAGAGGCCATGATGTAACACCTGCCTCCAGGCTAAATGCTCACATGTCAAGGTTTCCCATCTGTTGAGGTCCATTCCTAAGGCCTTCAGATCCCACTTGCAGATATCCTTGTATCGCAGCTGTGGTCTCCCTCTGGGGCA